ATGGGGAAGGAGAGGAGGAGGAAGAAGAAGAAGGAGAAGGGTTTTTTTGATTTGGGGGTTTTGTGGATTTTAGGGATTTGGAGGGGTTTAACAAGGGGGTGTTCCCTTGTGGTTTTAAGAAACACTCATGGGTTAGTGGTTAGGGATTTAACTTATAGAGGAGAGGTCCAAGGTTCCATTCGTAATGGTAACATTAAATATTTATTGATGGTGTGGTCCTTGTCTTTTTCCTTATTTTGTCCTTTAGTGGGGGAAGGGTTGGGTTGGTGATATAGTTTGTGGTTTCGTCTTTATAAGTAGGATCGAATTTTAATCGAATCTTTTATTTATAAAATTCCGAAGTAATCGCTAAATAAGTAATTTTTTTACTATGAAGGTGATTACAAGGAATTGCCGGTTTATCCTAGACAGAATTCGTCTTCTTGATTTTCTCTTGCGGGGTTTGTGTGATCCTCGTCTTCTGGGGTTAGGTTCCCCTCCTTGAGGTTGCTCTCGTTCCCGAAGTCAGCTTACCACTAGTGCTTTTCGGGCTTCGAAGTTGAGGCCCGAGACGAATCTTTCTATCTTGGTTACTTCGGTGGGGACTAGCTCCGGTGCGAAGCGCGCCAGTTCGAGGAATCGCTTGTGGTATTCCATGACGGTGGCTGTCCCTTGTTTCAAATGGAGGAACTCTTCGTACATGGATGCTTTCACGTGTGTTGGGTAGAATCGTTCTCGTAGTCGTGTTTTGAGGTTCTCCTAGTTGAACCCCGGTTCTTGTTGGTAAGCGGGACCCTCGTGGATCCACCAACGATTGGCCTCGTGTCCGAAGTAGAACGAGGCTATCTCTACGCGACGTTCTTCTGGGCATTCCACTAACCCGAGTATCTTGTCGAGGGCCCGGATCCATTCCTCCAGGATCACGGAGTCTTCTTCTCCTGAAAACGTGGGCGGTCGATGGTTTGAAACTTGTCGGGCGACGTCTGAGTTTGTGTTTGATGGAGGAGGCGGGGGCCTGTTGTTGCGAAGAGCTACGTCGCTTAGTGCCTGGGCGACTTGCGTTAGTTATTGCAGTGTTTGGGTCAGGGGGTCATGTGTGGTGGGTTCCGGAGTCCTCGATTGTCTTCTGTTGGGTGCCATGCTGTCGTTTTTCTGAGTCAATGTTTTATAAGAACATTAAATTAGAGCTTGGCGTCTTTCTTTGACGTGATAAACGGAGGAAGGTTTTCTTTAGACAAGGAAGGAATGAAGTGAGGGGGTTTATGTGTGGGTTTCACAATCTCACCGCGCGTCCTAAAATTCCCGCGTCCTATGTTCCTAAATACCTAGAGTTCAAGCCTAATGTCCTAAAGTCCGGTTTTAAGAGTCTTATCCTAGGGTCAAACTTAGGCTCTGATACCAACTGTAACACCCCATATTTTCAAGATATTTAAAACTTATGTAACAAGGATAACATCTCATTAAATCCCAAAGTATAACATAAGCGTACGGGGTGCTATGCCACACCTGGGCTAGAGAACCCAGGTGCACAGGCTATCTAACTAATATCCTCCGAAATATAAATGCATAACATGGCACGCTGGCCGAAAGGGAAACTACTCTACTTCTACGTTCCAGTCTAGCGCGCTCCAGTGCTCTAATCCTCTGTGCATGAAAGCTAAATATATCTGTTCAGCGAGAAATGCTAGTAACCCACTCCAACGCGTTGAAATACAATACACACACACACACACACACACACACACACACACACACACACACACATATATATATATATATATATATATATATATATATATATATATATATATATATATATATATATATATACGAAAATCATTTTGAACATGAAGATATATCCTACGAACTCTAGCTTTTGAAACCGGGAATGACTCGAGAGATAAGGCTAGACACAAGCAACAGTTATAACAAGCGTATACAATCCACAACAGGCAAGACAGATAAAGCTGAGCACAATTAATAGTCATAACCCAACATAAACAATCCCCAGCATAAATCCCATAGTCACATCCCCTAAGATACTCTTTATCACAACTCATTCATATCTCATCACATAGCACACTTTGTTGGCGCCACAGGACCAATCGCATGCCCATACATGAGGGTCAGCGCATATAGCTCTGACATGGCCCCGCAGCACCCTGCCTCGTATCGCAACACGGAGGAGTCGATCGCAACCGACCGATGAACCGCAGCTCATCATACTTTGATCGCAACCAAACAGTGGACCGCAGCCCAAGAGTATGTCATCTGACCGCAGCTAGGAAAGTATGAACCGCAGCTCATGTATAAACATTTGATCGCAACCAAACGGTGGACCGCAGCCCGGGAGTGTAAATCTGACCGTAGCCAGCTTCTGAACCGCAGCTCAGGAATAACCAATCCGATCGCAACCGAATTGGGGTATCATGCACACATAACACATAGCAAGCACATGCAACCCACATTAACACATTGGGAAGGGGGAGAAAGCGTATAACGAAACCTATGCGTGATCCTTCACATACTAAGAATGGTCCTAAGAGGTTCATACTTCTTCCACCTAGGTCAACGGGATACCAATTCAACTAGCATGCAATGTATAAGACTCATTAACCTACGAACGGTACCCGAAACGTCAAACTAGACACGGCACGATGAACGGAGTCCGTTGGGACACCACGGGGATCGGGGAAACATCAAACGGGGAAGCCGGGGTCCCGAATGGGGGAGATTTCCAGCGGGTAGCCGGTGGGTGGGGGGACCGCCCGCCGGTAAACACTGTTCCGAGCAGCGGGTCGCCGGCGGGCAGCAGGTCGCCGGCGGGCAGCTGCCCGCCCGCCGGCTGCCCGCTGCCGGAGACGCCCCTTCCGACCGCGGGTAGGTGGCGGGTCACCTACCCCCCACTGACTCTTTATACACAAAACGCCCCGGGAACCATTGTGGAACTCGAAACCATGCTTAGACACTTTACAACGCAATTAACGATCAACACGTAGACAATTAACGGATCAAATACGAGAAACGTACGGCACATAACCTATCATGCTTTTCTAAACATAATTGACACCCAAACATGCGATTTCCCCACCCGATACACCAAGAATAATATTATACGATACAACCTAGGGTTCTAATCACTTTTTTACCAACAAGAATACGATTCGTCTTCTAATTACAAGATTCGGTACAAATAACTCATAAGCATCAAGAACGCCATAAAATTATCAAGAACAACATATAATCATCAAGAACTCCACATAATCGTTAAGAACACCATAATTATCAAGAATCTCCCGATATCAAGATCACCCATGGAATTATCCCATCAATCATCAATAATAACATCACAAATCATCAATACACAATAATATGGGGAAATCCTACGGGGGAAATCATAGCTATGAAAATAGGTTTTGTTGAGACATGGGTTACCTCTTAGCCTTAATTAATTCCTTGGCTATGAAGGGTATTTCTTTAAGCTTTCTTGCTTTCTTGATTTCTTCTAAGGGGATTCTTGGAGCTCTTTTGAGGTGGTGGGGCATTATTCTTGTGGGAGTTCTAGGTGCCTTCTAGGTTCCCTATTTATATATCTAGGGGTCTTATTTAGGATCTAATCCTTTTAGGACTAGGGGTTGGGTTTAGGGATGAGGGCCCATGGACTATGGTGTGCCTTTTTCCCTAATTAATTATTATAATTTATTCTTTCTCTTGGGCTATGGGTTAATTAATTAATTGGTTTTAGGGGCCGTAACACGGGGTGTTACATTTGTCCACTCTCCCTGCTGGACCAACGGCGGGCGAGCGGGTTAAAGGTTTTGAGGAGGTTGCGGCGACTTCCCCCGTAGCTTAAGATTTCTCTTGCTGAACCCTTTAATGAAAGCCATCTTTTTACCGTTCGTCTCTCATAAAATATCCTGTGCATTCTTCAACATCAACACGACTCTAAAGGTTTAGACTTTGGTCCTTTCTTTCTTGCCGAGTCCCTCGGTCGAGGCGACTCCTTAGGATTTTTCTCTTAGAAATGTCTAAGGGTCAGTGCCCTTGGTTCCTTTTTCTTTTCTTGCCGAGTCCCTCAATCGAGGTGACTCCTTAGGTTTTTTCTCATAGAAACGTCTAAGGGTCAATGCCCTTGGTTTCTCTCTCCTTTCTTGCCTAGTCCCTCAGTCGAGGCGACTCCTTAGGTTTTTTCTCTTAGAAACGTCTAAGGGTCAGTGCCCTTGATTTCTCTCTTTTCTTGCCGAGTCCCTCAGTCGAGATGACTCCTTAGGCATTTCCTCTTAGAAACGTCTAAGGGCCAGTGCCCTTGGTTTCTCTCTCTAATTTTGCCGAGTCTCTCAGTCGAGGCGACTCCTTAGGCTTTTCATCTTAGAAACGTCTAAGGGTCAGTGCCCTTGGTTTCTTTCTCTTTTCTTGCCGAATACTTCATTCAAGGCGACTCCTTAGGCTTTTTTCTCTTAGAAACGTTTTAAGGGTCAGTTCCCTTGGTTTCTTTGTCTTTTCTTGCCGACTCCCCAAGTCGAGGCGACTCCTTAGGCTTTTCCTCTTAGAAACGTCTAAGGGTCAGTGCCCTTGGTTTCTCTCTTTTCTTGCCGAGTCCCTTAGTCGAGGCGACCCCTTAGGCTTTTCCTCTTTGAAACGTCTAAGGGTGAGTGCCCTTGGTTTCTCTCTCTTCTTGCCGAATCCCTCAGTCGAGGCGACTCCTTAGGTTTTTCTTAAATTTTTAAACATGAGCGGCCTTCGACGCTAGGAGCGAAAAAGATGTTTATTTAGAGTCACGTTCAAGAAGTACAACTGGGGCTGACCTTTTACTGGTAATATTTCTTCAAGTGGAGTACATTCCAGGCCTGATCGACGAGCTTCCATTCCAGGGTTTCCAGCTTGTAGGTGCCGGCTTGAACCACGGCCGCTATCTTGTAAGGTCCTTCCAACTTGTGTAACACCCCAATTTTTCAATTCTAAATTTCCTTTGCAATAATACTTTTTCTCAATTAAAAGATCATTAATACTCTAGCGGAAGCATTTACTAACCAAAAAGAAACTGGGTGATACCGCCACGCTCAGGTATTTCTCTTATACTCAAACGCTAAGGCTAAGATACAACACTAAATAAATGATCCAAATTCAACTTAATACATAAACTGCAAATAACTTTACAATCATTTAATCTCAAATCTTCAATGAGTCTATTCTTAATTCCTTCTTAGCTTGAATTCATCTTGAATTCCTATCCATGTTCACATGTGAAAATTATTTGACACAAAAAGATAGAGAATAGATAAAAATTACAATAAGCTAAGTAAGTTCCATTTCACCCCGTAAAATAATAGGCTCGGATTTCATATAAATTTCAAATTAAAATACTTATATATTCTTATACTTTTGCAAACCATATATGTATAGATATGTGTATACTTTTGTACAATTAACATAGTAGAGACTTCCCTGGTATTACTTAGTAAATAATCATTTTCCAAAACATTCCACGTCATTTTTCCAAAATGTATCATATTTATCAAGGAGGAGTAGATACCAAGTGTAGAGTCTTTAAGCTCTCAACTTAACCACCAAGAGGCATCAGAAGCCAATCATGAATATAATTTAGAATTCCAATGTGAGTTCTACCGGCTCACTCCGGTTTCCATATCTAAGACAAATTTCAAATTTGTGAGTTCTTCCGACTCACTCCGATATAATAAATATATTTTTGTGAGTTCTCTCGGCTCACTCCGGTAGAATGACCAAACTCCAGTCGGTAGGTTGTGAGTTTTCCGGCTCACACCAGCACCAAATATCACCATCCTCCAAAATTAAGATATGTACGTATATACTTTCATGCCAAAAAATTTCTTTTCCAAACTTTAGTTGGTAATAATATGAACGTGGAATAATAATAAGATTTCACCACATACATAAATGGTGTAGTTTGTCAAAATAAATTTTTTGTAAATTGATCACATCTAATGATTTTTTAATATATAAATATAAAAAATTCCAAGCCAAGCATTTATATGACACACGGATTCGACACGTCGAAACTCATTCTCGATACTTTGAGAATCACCTCTCACACCGTTACCATTTATCGATAAATGTACTTGTGTCACGATAATATTATAATCACATAATATGACACATAATTGTGAAATCATATAATTTTTATTTATATAACATCATATCATAACCACATTCACACATTATAACAACATACATATACTTCGGGGTAAATATGAAATTTTAGTGAACATGAAATCTTACCAAATAATGATCCTGGCAAACTGCCCAACCTTCAATTCCCATCATTCTTTCTCTCCTTTTCTTCTTTATTTTATCTCTTTCTTTCTTTTCCCTTCGTCCGAATCATCTCGCTACCCCCTTCTTATAAAACTTTTATTTCTTATAATAATAACAATAAATAATGACTAATTGTATTACCTAATCTGCTACTTAATTATAATAACAATTGCTAATCACCCCTAATCTGCCATCTAATCAGTCCAATAACTGCTAATCACTCCTAATCCATCGCTAATGACCTATTTAATTATTCAATTCTTAAACTCCGCTGAAATAAAAACAAAATGACCATTTTGTAAATTAAGTAGCTTTGAAAATAAATTCTTGTTGTTACTTAAATTTGAACCCATGACCTCTCACAAGAAACTCAAAGCTCAATACATCAAGCCAAATTACATCTTTGTGGTTTATTTTGAAACAAATATATATATATATATATATATATATATATATATATATATACACGTTTTTCCTAAAATTATATTGTTGCTTAAAAATACCGGGTGTCACAACTTGACTGCGAACTTTCCTCCCTCGGTGGGCCGGCAGGCCTGTTGATCACGTAGAACAAGGTCACCTACTTGGAATGCCCGAGGTCAGATGCGTTTATCACGATACTGTTTGACGGCCTGTTGATAGTCCACAATACGAGCGTGCGCCGTCTCCCTTCGTTCTTCTATGAAGCTTTTCTCAATCCTTAAGCTCTCCTCATTTCCTTCGTATGTGTAGTAGCTAATTATGTAGGTGGGCTCGACGACCTCTACAGGCACTTTTGCTTCAAAACCATAAGCCAGCGAGAACGGTCTCTCGCCAGTGGCTTGCCTTTGGGTGGTTCGATAAGCCCACAATACCCGATCTAATTCGTCTCCCCAATTTCCTCCTACGTCCTCCAGTTTCTTGCGAATGCCGTCCACAATGGTGCGATTCACGTTCTCGACCTGTCCATTGGCCTGAGGATAGGCGACCAACACCTTGATGTGTCGAATGCTATGCCGCTGACAAAACTCCGTGAAGGGCCGGCAATCGAACTGTCGCCCGTTGTCACTGACCAAATGTTCGGGCAAACCAAAGCGGCAGATAACCTTTTTCAATAGAAAACGTGGACACTGATACTCGGTGATGGTGACCAATGGCTCAGCTTCCACCCATTTGGTGAAGTAGTCGATGGCCACCACGCAAAACTTAAAGCGTCCGGGTGCGAGCGGTAAAGGGCCTAATAGGTCGATTCCCTATTTAGCGAATGGAATGGCAGTAATGACTGGGTAAAGAAGGTGGCAGGCGGAGTATCCTTCCGAACAAAAGCTTGGCACACGATACACTTAGCTATCCAGCTGATGTAGTCTCTCATCATGGTGGGCCAGTAATAACCTTGGATGACCAACTTCCGAGCGAGAGTGTGGGTACCTTGGTGAGCGGCGCATATTCCCCGGTGGGCCTCATCCATTAGCCTATCTGCTTTGGGCTTTAGCAGACATTTGAGGAGGGGTCCACCGAACGATCTCTTGTATAATCGTCCATCGACGATTTCGAAAGAAGAGGCTTTCCTGCGGACTCGAGTAGCGACCGCCGGGTCGTCAGGCAGCTTTCCGTTTTCCTTGTATTGTAGAATATATTCGATCCAGAACATCTCGGGGTTATCAGTACGATGCCAATTCAGCACTATTACCTGCAGGATTTCCTTTCCCGGTTTCTCAATGCTTGGTCAATGCAGCTATTCCTTTTGACAGATCCTCAAGAGGTGATTCGGTACTCCTTCCAAGGCTATCTTTGACAAGATGTTGGCTTCTTTGTTTTCAGTTCGCGGGATGTGCCCGATCTCATACGCCGCGAATCCTTACAGCAATTCCTCGGTTTTCTCATTTTACTGTATCAGTCGTGCGCTCTTAGCTTCACAGGTTCCTGAAACTTGCCCGACCATGAGGCGCGAATCGGTTTTGATACGTAAGCGGTCGGCTCCTAGGGCTTAGGCTAATCGAATGCCCCCTAGCACGGCTTCGTACTCCGCCTCGTTATTGGACACCTGGAACCGATAGCTCAAGGCATAGTATAGCCGAAAACACTCCGGGGTGATTAACATAACTTCACCGCCACAATGCTGGCTGCTTGCGGCTCCATCGGCGTGTAATTCCCACCACTCTCCTGTGCTTTCTTCTGAGGCTAGGGTTCTGCCGCCTTTTCCTCCTACCGTATACTCAACTATGATGTCGCCCAATGCCTGCTCCTTAATTGATGGTCGGGGTTGATATTCGATCCCATACTGGGTCAATTCCACCGCCCACATGACCAGTCGCCCGTAGGACATGGGATTACGCAGCACGCTGCCCAAGGGTTCAATTGTTAGTGTAACACCCCGTGTTACAGCCCATAAACCAATTAATTAATTACCCAGCAAGAAAGATTAAAATCTCATTAACTAGGAAAGGCCCACCATAAGCCCATGAACCCTATCCCTAAATCCAACTCCTTAGTCCTATAAGGAATAGGATTAGTGAACCCATGGCACTTAGACCATAATTAGGACTCTTAATTATATAAATAGGGACATAGAAGGCACCTAGAACTCGCACCACAAATAATCCCTCACCACACAAGAAAGTTCCAAGAACTCCCTTAGGAGAAATCAAGAAAGGAGGAATCTTAAAGAAAGACCCTTCATAGCCAAGGAAATTAATTAAGGCTAAGAGGTAACCCATGTCTCAACAAAACCTATTTTCTTCGCTATAATCTCCTGCCTTGGCCTCCCTCTATATTCTTGTGTCTTGATTGAATTCTTCTATGATAATTATGTTATGTTCTTGGTGATTGATAAGATGATTTATATGCTTTCTTGATAATCTTGATAGTCTTAATGTTGAGAAGAAGTTCTTGATTATGATGTGATGATTCTTGACGAATCTTGATATTTTCTTGATGTTAAAGATTAAACATGTTCTTGATGATTTGGGTGGGATTAGAGCCCTAGGTTGGATTGGGAATTTGTATTATGATGTTCTCGATTTGTATTTGGGAGGGAATTCGCATGTTCGGGTGTTGTTTACATTTAGGAGTCATAATAGGATAAGTCCTACATGATTCTTACTTTTGATCCGTTAATTGCTTACGTATTGTCGTTACTTGCGTTTAAAAGTTTCTAAGCATGGTTTCGGGTTCCACAAAGGTCCCCAGGATGAATATTTGAGAAAAGAGTCAGTGGGGGGTAGGTGGGGGTGGGGGAACCCACCACCTACCCGCTGCCCAGAAGGGCGCTGCCCGGCAGCGGGCAGCCAACGGGCAGCCGGCTACCCGCCGGCTACCCGCTGCCCGGAACAGCGCCCACCGGCGGGTGACCCCCACCCACCGGCTGATTAGAACCCTAGGTTGATTTAAAAATTGTGTCCTTGTTAATTTAAAAATGATTAGAACCCTAGGTTGTATCGTATGGAATTATTCTTGGTATATTGGGTGGGAATTCGCATGATTGGGTGTTGATTATGTTTAGAAAAGCATGATAGGTTACGTGCCATATGTTTTCTCGATCTTTGACCCGTTAATTGTCTACGTGTGTTATCAATTGCGTTTGAAAGTGTTTAAGCATGGTTTCAGGTTCCACAAAGGTTCCCGGGGCGTTTTTGGTGAAAAAGAGTCAGTGGGGGGTAGGGGACCCGCCACCTACCCTCGGCCTTCTTGGGCAACGCCGGCAGCGGGCAGCCGGCGGGCGGGCAGCTGCCCGGATTAGTATCGCCGGCGGGCTGCCGGCAGGTGATTCCTCACCCACCGGCTACCCGCTGGTTTGGACCCCACCGTGGGATTTTGGCTTCCCCGTTTGATGTTCCCCCGACCCCCGTGGTGTCCAACGGACTCCGTCTATCGTGCCTATGTCTAGTTTGATATTTCGGGTGCCGTTCGTAGGTTGTATGAGTCTTATATATTGCATGCTAGTTGAATTGGTATCCCGTTGACCTAGGTGAAGGAAGTATGAACCCCATAGGATTATGTGTGCATGATACCACAATTCGGTTGCGATCGGATTGGTTATTCCTGAGCTGCGGTTTAGAAGCTGGCTGCGGTCAGATTAACACTATTGGGCTGCAGTCCACCGTTTGGTTGCGATCAAACGTTTCTACATGAGCTGCGGTTCATATTTCCTGGCTGCGGTCAGATGACATACTCTTGGGCTGCGGTCCACTGTTTGGTTGCGATCAAACTATGATGAGCTGCGGTTCATCGGTCGGTTACGATCGACCCCTCCGTGTTGCGATACGGGGCAGGGTGCTGCGGGGCCGTGTCAGAGCTATATGCGCTGACCCTCATGTATGGGCATGCGATTGGTCCTGTGGCGCCAACAAAGTGTGCTATGTGATGAGATATGGAGGAGTTGTTGTTATGAGTGCCTTGGGGATGTGACTATG